GAGAGATCTCGATGGAGAGCAGTCGCTTGCTTCGTTGCTGAACAAGAAGGTAGAGGTTCTTAAAAGTCGGTGCTTTACTTTGATTTTTGATGATTTTAGGGTTTGATTGAGTCTAGTGTTTGTTCTTAGTTGAGATCTTTCTGTAGAGTAATTTGTTAGGAGTTTTTGTGGAAAAAGAGTGTCATTTGAGAGGATTGAGTTTTTAGCTTGACAAAATTTGGTGAAGAGGGATTTTGATGGGGGTTTGTGCACATTTTCATATGAGTTGATAAAGACATTGATTTTCTGTTTAGGGTTTATGTTAGAGTGCTATTATATTGTTTCAGCAGAGTAATTTTGTGTTCGTGTTCGTTGAGCCCTGCATTGACTGAATGAGGAGTCAATTGTGACTTTCTATTAGGTAGCTTAGGGGTGGGTTCCTCCCTTCCAAATGGTATGTAAAAGGTTGTAAGGGAGCCGTGTGGGTGGTGACGGCGGCATTGTAGTGTTTGACTAGTGCAGTGCAAATCCAAAGGGTATTGGGAGTGCAGTGTTCTACTGGGACCATTCCAGTGCAAAACTGGTCCATGTGGGCACCGGGAATGCAGAAGTGTGATGGTATGTTAGGGTCCATTTAGATTTAGTCCTTCCCTCGAACAGCTAGCTTTAGGGGTTAGTTCTCCTAGCCTCCTAGGTCCTTTGCAGACTTGCAGTGAGTGTTGTATTTGTCTGTTATAACCTAAGGACATTGATCTGTTTTAGTGTTTATGTTGGAATGCTATTATATTGGCTTATTATGGTATTTCGATTCTAGGACAGGTTTCCACTGGACAATCAAAAGGGTATTGATTAAGCAGCTTTGTTAGGTTCTTGCTGTTGAATGCACACATGGCCCTAAAAAACGTCTCAGAATACTAAAGCCATGTTGTGAACTGTAATAAAAAAAAGCACCTTGTGCCAGCTAGTTTATTGTTCTTTTGACTTAGTCGAATCTGAGCACGCATTGTTTGTGTTCTTGTTTGTAGAATGTGAAATGCTTTAGGAGTTGTGCATAAAGATCCCATTGTGTTCAAAATGTGGGGAGGTGTAGGTTTATACTTAATTAGCATGTGCACTTGCAACTACTTCCCAAGGATGTGCTTGATTGTATTGATGTGCTTCACCTTGATAAGACATTTTTACTCAAGGATTCTTGATTGCAAGGATATAACCAGCTGTAAGGTTATTATTGTATACACCAAAATTACCAAGAAACGCTAGTACATGTCACAAACCCTAGGAAGGAAAACTTGATTGGTTGGGTAGATGTGTCATTCCTTAACCTGTCATCTGTTAATCATTTCTTGGTTTTAGGACTGAGCTGGACCACCAGAGTTACTTAACCTAAGAAGCATGGAATGTGAGATGGGACACAGACACAATGTCATGGACAGAAGAGCATGGCAATTTATCTATATGGATGCATGTGTTTAGGAGAGAGCATACTGATACTTGTATCTTCCTTCAAGAACAATGCATGTATATGTAAACATGCACACTGATGAAAATATAACGCGCACACAATTCTCTAAATTCTGATAATAAGATAAATTACTGGCATCCTAGTGACTTTTGATTTGAAATAGGACTAAACTGTCTATCTTTCTATAAAATAGCTAAATGTACTTAACCCCTTATATTAAAACATATGTCCTCAGCCTGTCATTGTTGTATGCAAGTCACTACTTTGATTTGTTTCCCCATAACATCTCTGTTAAACTATGTGAACAGTACATACATATCACAAAATGCAATCAGTATGAAATAAATGTTTAAAAATCATAAAATAATTCCTTGCTGTATTTGATAAGTGTGCAAAAAGTGTCGAATGAACATATACTAGAAAACTGAGGACATGCTTGAAAAGTGTGAGATTTTTCCAAGAAGTATCATGTAACTCATGTGTTCATAACAACAATGAGAAGTGTCGTTACGCAACACAGTCATTGGTTGACAACAGAAGTTTCTGCCACATGAATCTTAATGATTAGTTTTGTTGTTCTCATCCAACTACTAGCATTCTGTTGTACACATTCACATATATGATGTCCTTAAAGTTGTTTCTTTTATAAGAATAAAAGCAACAACAAAATTGTTATTGCACCCTTAAATCCCATTCAACCATCCATGTTTTTCAAATTATTTAGTTTGAGTTACTCAGACACATATCCCATTTGTGGTGCTATGAACTAATGAACTATTACGTACTTGTTTTATAAACACTAGCTTTGTTGTGAGGCGAGGTGGTTGTTGGGTTTGCATCTCTCATCCAGTTAAAAGTATCCAACTTAAAAGGCATTCCAGGATTAAGTGTTGGTCACAAATCAAAGGTGAAGTGAGAATATGACTGCTAAGTATATGGTGTACAAAACTTAGCTGGTTAACATTTGAGCTTACAATGGTCTCTATGTGTTGTGAAGCCCTCATAATTTGAGCTCCTACTCTCATGGGAGCATAACAAACTAACTATATGATGATGCGAGATCAAAGAATCAAGCACGCTGGGTAAACAAACACAATGTCAAGTTGATAAAGGAGATTGGTAGGATCAAAAGGACAAGGACATTACAAAGAACAAGAAGAGGACTGGGAACCTGGGATCATCATATAGTAAGATTAATATCATTATGAGTGTTGGTGAATTAAAGTTTGAGTCTGTATGGTGATTGCAGCTCTATTGTCAAGGTCAATTGTCAATAGAGGGTGATGGATATGCCTAATGGTGATTGATGTGTGGTCAACTACCAATTATTTGCGGAAGGAAGAACATGACACAATAGTAACATAAATTTATGGTCAATTACATTATGGAGTATAGTCACAGATGGGGCACGAACATAGGATAGGGTAAATCTAAATACTAAATCATGAGGAAAACTAATATGATACTATAGAAAAAATATATTAACAATAAAAAGTCTGCACATGTACATATATGCCTGCATGGACATGTTAGTGGATTCAAAAGTCCATATTTTTTACTTTTTGGTAATTTCTTTTACTCTGATGTCCTAATATATTTTATTAAGTTAGGTTACTATTAAAACTTATTTTTATTTACTTTATTCTTACATTTGAATTCATATATTTCTGTGACCATCAGGGAATAGTCTGGGTATTAGAACCTGAAAAGGTGCCGAAACTTAGTACTGATGAGTCACCAACAAGAGGGTCCAAGGAGCTGAAGAACAAGAAGACTATACAGGAGGTGTACCCAGTCAAAAAATATGCTAAAATCAAAGACTGGTCATTAGTATTATCGGATCATGATGGTTCTCGAAGAACAATTGAACTCTTGGATTGTACAATAGTAGCTGTCTCTGCTTCAGATTTGCCTTCAAGGAAGTGGTAAGCATGCCAGAATGACATAATTCAGCTTCTTTATTTCTTTGTGAACTAGGCACAGATCTAAATGGGTTCTTGCATGTTTTTTAGTTCCATTAGAAACACAGTGTTTTGATCTCAATTGATGAATTTTTTATTCTGGATGAAGTAGTAATCATTCTTGTAATGTTTGTGAATTATAACACAGACCTAGATGACGTCTGCAAATATCTGACACTTGATATTAGTTGCAACCAATTTAACTGACTGGACAGTTGTTTATTTTATCATGCCACAGGAATAGAATGTATAACAATTTTGGATTCACCAAATGCACCTCCTATGTTATTCATTATGTTCTTTATTGAGCAACTATATTTCATTTAGTATCTAAAACACTTTATTTGTATTATAGGGCTAAAAGGTATCCAATTAAATTGGAAAGAAAGAATTCTGCATTGTACAATGGAAGCAAAACATGTTATATATATTTTGAGACTTCTTGGGAGAAGGAATCATGGTGCAAAGCTCTTCGTCTTGCTTCCTTTCCTGATAGGGCAAAACTGAATTGGTTTGCACAATTAAGTGGAGAGTTCCATAATTATCTAACGTCTTTAACTGCTGCATACCCTTCATTTCTTAAACCTCCTGCAATGTCTGATGAAGCTCCAGATACAACCAATAGAATTGATGTAACCTCTTCTAAGGTTCGGGGTTTTCTGAAAAAGTTTGCAAAGAAGGCTTCAAAGAATGGTGTTGAAAGCAAGCCAGCTTCAGTTTCATCATCTACTCGTGGTGAAAGAAGAATTGGTCAAAAAATAGGTTCAATGCATGAAGTATCATCAATTGACGAATCTGTAAAAGGTTCTTCAGATAATGCATCAAACTACTCCCTGCAAGACCTTGTGCAACCTGGTTCTCCTACCACCAGCAAGAGTATTCTTCAGATTTTTCCTGATTCAGTTTGTAGTGAGAAGATTCTTAATGACAGTGAAGGGACACTTTGTTGGAATCTGTTGTTTTCACGGCTTTTCTTTGATGCTAAAAGAAGTATTGGGTTGAATGATGCTGTAAAAGCACGCATTCAGGTAAATACCACGATCTTAATATTGATGCTTCTTTTATCATTGCATAGTATGCTTAACTTTTCTTGTATATTTGTACAGAAGACATTGTCAAATATGCGAACCCCTGGTTATATTGGCGGTGTGACATGCACTAGTTTAGATCTTGGTGACCTTCCTCCTTTTATTCATAGAATGAGGGTTCTTCCCGTGGATTTAACTGAGGTATGGGCAGTGGAAGTTGATATTGAGTATTCAGGGGGTATAGTGCTAGATGTTGAAACAAGGATTGATGTTTGTGAGCAAGAACTGCAAAACGAGGATTTGAATAAGAGTTTAGGACTAAGTTCTGCCAGGGAGGTAACCTCGGATCTTATCGAGGAGACTGATTATAATGGGAAACAATTAGAGTTTCCAAGAAATTCAGCAGATCAGATGGAGAATAAAGATGAAGGAGGAGATAGAGTTGGTGAGTACCCTTATATTTAGACTTTATGCTATTACATGCTTCCTTTGATGTTGTTTCTATGAAGATTATTTCTGGACTGGAAACAAGGATATAGTATAGATTATGTTCTTTAACAACTATATGCAGAGGTCATTTTCTGCAGACAAAATGAAAATCTTTTTTCAAAAGTGTTGTATTTATCAATGGTTTTATGATTGGTATTGCCATAAAGGCTGCAGAGATACCCATTTGTAGTAGATCAACGTGCACTTGAATGAGTTATTATTGAGGTCAAATGACTATTATACATTTTAGAGATGCATTGTTGTATTTGATCTCGTGCACTTACCAAACATAGATTCTTGTGCAGTTGACATGTATTGGGTACATGCTCCAGGCCTATATTGTACGTAATTAGCATTACATCATGCACCTGTTATCTAAGCAGATCATGACTCTTAGCTCTTCCAAAGCTTTTTCTGTTGTTAGGTATTTATCATATTTCAATTCACATGTTGAATGTACAATTGTTATGCTTAGCCGGACAAATGATTTCTTATTAGCCCATACTGAAGTAAAGTTTTAAAAATACATATACCTATGTATTTAATAAGACCTATACCTATATAGTTTATACTTAACGTAATAGTTTTTTTTGTATAATTTATTATAGTGGGATATAATGCCCTTTTGTCTTTTCTTTTAGATGGCTTGAAGCAGTCAAAGAGCACAAAGTGGGCATCAAACTATGCGTCAAGGTGGAAGGCTGCTGTAAATTCTATAGCTAACAGAGTTGCACAGGTCTGTAATTTGTTGACTGATCACCAATTATTTATCTGATTTTACAAATTAATAATTTTCTGTTAAAAGAAAAGAAATTGTAGACAGAGAATTCATGACGTAATCATAGAGAAGGATTAGCTACAAATAATAAATGACAGGAGGAATTAATTGTGAATTGGTATAAAGAAGCACGCAAGAAAAAGCTTGCACGCAGATATTTTGTAATTCTTCGTGATAAAATGTATGAAGGGATGTACTTAAGAATTCTTTTTATGTTTTTAAAATTAAGATGGTCCAGAATTAGTGCCTTAATTACAGTAATTCTCTTTTAATTAATGTAATAAAATTGTAGATCTGTAAGTAATCTATGACAACAATTTATCTTCATTACCGTCACTAGGTTGTAACGTGTCTTCTTGATGACTTTCTCTTGTGTCATGGACTTAGCGTGATCAGGGTTATACTGGTCTGGGGCCTAGTTAATCGGCAGAATCAGTCAATAAGTTAGGAAAAAATTTTTGGTACTAGTTGGAAAAGAGATGGGAATTATCAGTGGAAATCTTCATTGTGATTTAGTGCTGCTATTTTTATTAGAATAATACTTGCACGTATGGTATGTTTACACAGAAAGGTATCTACTCTAGCATGATCAAAAAGTTACTTTTCTTTTCATTTACATTTTATGCTAAACCTTTAAAGAAGTATGTATCCTGGACTCTGAATTCTTTCTTCCCATTCTTAGCGTGTCTATCCCATATTCTATCTTCTCCAGTTTAAACTTATTGTTAACAATAGCTTTGGTAGTACTATTTTCCACTCCATGCTTATAAAACTTACAATTCATATTCCCTTGTTTGTCTTAATTCATGCATTTGACTTCATTTTTCTGGAACTCTAGCACCTCTTGCCTTTTAATAGCTTCATTGAGACTGTCACTGGTCAAAGGAGCATGAGGGGACAATATGGTTGAGCTGTAACTTGAAATTTATGGTTGCATCCTGGAAGTGGTTATTATACTATTCTCTTACACACAAATTAAATCTGAATACAGGTTTTGATGTATGGGAGAAAGTTTAAGTGAGGTTGCAGTACTGAATCTATTTCTCCGTGCAGGTCCCAATTTCCTTGGCAATAAGGGTTGCTTCTCTTCGAGGCACACTGCGATTACATATAAAGCCGCCTCCTTCTGATCAGTTGTGGTTTGGATTTACAACGATGCCCGAAATTGAATGGAACTTGGATTCTTCAGTTGGGGACCAAAGGATAACCAGTAGCCACATTGCTTTGCTTATTGGCAATCGGTTTAAGGTAATATTAGATTTTTCTGTTCTGTTGTAGAAGGCGAGAATACTAAGAAGCACAGAGGATGAGTTGTGGTCAACCTAAGTTGCATGGAAACGGGCACGGGTACTGGTACGGGTGCGGATACGGGTACGGGACACGGCAAAACTATAAAATGTTGGGTACGAGGACACGACTACACATATATATATTGAATTAATAATGTACATGAGATAATTTTTTTCGCTTCATGTGTCATTAGAATTAAAATTTCGATCACATTTTTGAGTTTATTTTATCATATTGATTATCGTATGTGTCATTAGAATTAAAATTTCGATCACATTTTTGAGTTTATTTTATCATATTGATTATCGTGAATTGTAAACTACTCATTTTTTTACTAGACATCTAAACGACCCATTAACTATATAGTTTTGAACTTGGGTATGGACTGAAACGAACCCGACTCGTATGCCATTAGTTTCAAAAGACAGATGTGAAGTGTAAGCTTTACGTCCAGGAAGTCTTTGACAAGTGTTTTAAATTAACACATATATCGTCTAATTGAGTACGTGTTGTAATAAATGCATGCATATATTCAAGAAGTGTCCATGAAGTTTGGGTACGGGAAAGTGTCGGGTACGTGTCCGGTACGGGTACGACTTCAATAATGAAGTACCCGGGTAAGATGACCAGCTTCAACTCCTGGTTTCTTTGTACAGATGAAAGTAAAAGTAAACTGCTATACATTGTTTTCCCTTGTTTGAGGGTGAAAATGTGAAATAGAGGGAAAGGGCAAAAAATAATAATTGAAATTTGTGCATGAATGCCTGCATGGTAATCAAATTTAAAATTTGATTATTCTTTTCATCTCTTTTCTCCTCTCCCCTTTTTTTTACCATAAATAAAAACAATATGGACCACAAACAGGTGGTGTGGGCCATTCCAAAATAGGAAACATATCCACCCTAACTCAGTTTCAGCATTGTCCCTTAAACACTGTGGTCCACGCCCTCTAATATTTCATGGAAATTTGAAATCCAGAACCCCTTCTGTAATTATCCAAGTTTTTGGAAACCACTTCTAAGAAGGATACTCACGGTAAGCTTGAACCTGAATTGGTTCTATTTTTTAGTTTCAACATCTCAATTTTTAGTGTGTCTCTTTTTGTTCTAACAATATGGGCCTGTTTGGAACAAAACCAGTTTTAACTTCTGACCCTAGTTTTGGCAAATAACTGGACCAGACCTTAAACTGATTTTTATTAGGGCAATTTTTGTCAGTTCAAATTTGATCCATCCCTCCCCTGGTCTAGAGCCAAACTTGTGTCCACTTTGCTAAACTGACCCTAAAATTAAACTTACTCCATACTGGTGTAGTGGTAACCTACTGGAATGGTACAAATCTCAGATTTATTATGTTTTGCAGGCATCAATTCGAGATAACTTAGTTCTTCCAAATTGCGAAAGCATATGCATTCCATTTATGTTGGCAGAGAAGGATGATTGGGTTCCACGTAATGTTGCACCATTTATATGGATCAACCAAGAAGCCATGGATATGACAGGGCTTGATTCATCTAGCTCAGTGAGTGGGGAAGCTAGACCATTGCTTGATAGTAGCACCAGAACTAAATCTGATAATAGCACCAGAACTATATCCGACAATATTACTATTCCTGATGACAAAGTGGAAACAATAGAAGATGTTGTACATATTCAGCCAAAACCCGATAAGTCTGAGTCAAAGACTTCAGTTTCTACTAATCGGTCGATTGTTAGCTGTAAAAGTGAGGAGTTGAGGGAACCACTTTTAAGGGAAGAAGGAAACCGAGAAGGCCAGAGTCAGAGTAAAGGTGAATCTCCAAAGTCTTCATCAGCCTCTAGCGAAAATCTGATATTAGATGTACCAACTGTCAGGTCTGAGGAGGACATAAAGCGAAAGAAGATAAGTAGTAGAAGAGCAAGAATGATGGATTTAGGTAAGAAAATGGGAGAGAAGTTAGAGGAAAAGAGACGCTTAATTGAGGAAAGGAGTCGGCATGTTGTTGAAAAAATGCGAGAAAATACAAGGACTTGAATTAAGCAAATGTTGTGTTTTTTCCACTGAATGATGTGTTGTTTTGTCTTAAGCAGTCTTTGGGAAGGCTTAAATTTGAGAGGTTTTGTACAGCTGCATCGGAATGAAACAATCTGCAGAAAAATGTAAAGCATTCTTTTGTAATCTTGTTATAGCATGAAAATTTGAAATGTACCGGTGTGATTGTGCTAATAGTGGTCTTTCAAAGACACTGTTTAATGTTTATGTATATTTGGTACGTCAAAACATCATTTTCCACTTTTTCTCTGAGTTTGATCCCATTTTTTTATGACAAATATAGAGTTTGGGAAATCTATTATTGTGCGTAGCATTTGTGTAGCATTTATTCTTGCAGGTACGTCAAAACATCATTTTCCAGTTTTTCTGAGTTTGATTCCATTTTTTTTAATAAATGTAGAGTTTGCGAAATCTATTCTCGTGCGTAGTATTTATTCTTGAACGTATTAGTCTGTGAGATGCAACATTTGTTCTGCTCTTTGTCATATTTTCATCACTAGATTTTGTGTGTGGAATAGTTGCAGCTGAAGCTAGGCAGGGTTGGGCATGGGCCGGGTCAGCCTGTGGCATGGGCCTGGGCTGACCCAGCCTAGCCCGCTATGGGGCCACGACTCTACCTGACCTAACCTAGCCCATGATAATATGTGGGTCACGACGGTTTGGGTCCAGCCCTAGACCCGAGCCCTAGACCCGAGGTCAGAGAAGTAGGCCTAACCTATGGCTAGCCCGTCCTAACCAATGATATATTTTGTGGTTAGACTAATTATTCATTTAGCCCTTTGGGTCTACAACTCGCTAAAAACAAAGCTAAAATGCCAAAGGTCTTTGGTTTGTGGTCTTTTGGCCCATTGAGAAACAAAACAACGATCTTTAAGCTCGATGCTGTCTATTTGGAAGGATTAAAAAGTTTAATACAAGTTCAAAAATAGTTCAATATAAATTCGAATTACTAAAATATAAATTAAAAGTAAATTTATAATTATAAATGTAAGTTTAATATAATTAAAAAGGTAAAAAGGAAAAAAAAATTGGAGGAAAAACTCATGGACCGGTCCACAAGCCGCAGGCTGGGTCAGACCCGCACGTATCCAGGGGGTGGAGACCGAGTTCGGGTCAATTCCAGACTCGGATTAGCACGGCGCCTTGAATCGGCCGAGCCCGCAGCCACCGTAATTAATTATCTAGACACTAGTTACATTTGTGAAAGACAAGTGTTTATGACACATAATGGAAAGTGGTTATCCACCTTACCATTTTCCTTTTGGGCTTCACATTATTTGGTTTGGATCCATTGTGAATCCTAAAATGATAAAAGTACATTGCTTAGTTTGTATAATGCATTCTTTTTAATGTGTTAATAAATTAACTTCTTACTTTTAAATTAATATATGCTACAAAAAGTAACCTAAAGTGTTCCTCATCTTTAACTTCGATACCCCAAAAAATTACCCCTTGGGGAAAAACCCCTCAAAGTTCAACTAAAGTAGCTTTGATACCTCAACCTTTAACAGAACTTTAAATTTAGTAGCCCAAACTTCAACAAAAAATTTAAATTTGGGGTTAAAGTCACATTTTGTTGAACTTCGGGTGTTTTTTGGCCAAATAAGTTTTTGGGTGTCTAAATTTCCCTTCAGAAATTTACAAGAGATAAATGACAAAAATTTAAAAGCAGCAGTGCCTCTTCTTCAAACATACCCATATTTCTCATATATATATATATATATTGCTATTCTCTCCACAGGATTATACTGACGAACTTTTAATCACTCACAAAGGGGCACTTTGAAGGAGTACAAGCTTACAGGGAGAAAAAAAATCAAAATTCTGGGTCCTCCCTTGCCAAATGTACTTTATGCAGTGAAAAACTTCCTCATCAGAATGTCGATAATTTTGGCAGCAATCCTCCGATCATAGGAAAAACTCTCTCTCTTGTATATATGTTGCTCTGTAAGAAGTATTCTTGGGAACACTGTATGCTCATCTTCTACATTTCTTTATAGTTGTTCTCATGTTAAGTAGTAGAAAGCAAGGGTGACTTGTAAACACTCATCAGGATTTGAACATGATGTGGATTCTCAGATCTTGAAGTGCTTGTAACCATCTTCGGAACTCGTCATGCCTTCTTCCCAGTCACCCATGCGGCGGCCACCAAAGACAACCTGTTGAATGCCTAAATATCTACCAGCAAGAAATTTAGTTAATCTCAAAACACTTGTTGACAAAGTAACAGATTATTGTTCTTAAAGTCTCTTCCACTGCACCAAAATCTCAAAGTTGTGTTGAGGGTTGAGCGTAATACTTTTATATTTTAACATATCCCTGCAAGCTAAGCGCACTTTGATGGGCTGAAACCTTATGCCCGGTGAATTTGAACCCAGGTTGCTGTGATACCATATTAAATTCTCTATCACTATACTAAAACTTTAAAGTTGTGGTGAGGACAGAGGGTTATAATTTTATACTCTAGCAATTATGATGAATGAGCGTGGTGATGATGATTTGTACTGCACATATGAATTATTCTAATAAACTGAAACAACTAAAAGACTGCTTTAAACTACAAAAAGAAATGTAAACTTTACAATGAACTACTCTTACTCTGAGCTCAAGACGGTCAAACAGTTGAGCAATACATCAATAGCAAAGAAATCAGATGTTCCAAGGTCCACCCTGCAATTAATCCACAGAACAGTTGAGAATAGATGTCAATCTATTATTAGTAAATACTTGGTTTGATGATGAAGACTCTTACCAAATCCGACCCCAATTATCTTGGAATTCCACATTGCTTATATCATGGAAAGAAGAGGGCATTACCGTAGCAGCTTTATCAGAATCATAAGTAGGATTGTAATCCATAGAAGAGTTTCCCAACTGTTATTAGAGAAAACATTGGACAACAGCCACTAAGCATTTTCTAGAAAATTGCAAATTGAATGTATTAAGTTGTCATAATCAAAAGGACTGGCTTATTTGCTAATATCTGCTTTTAAACATTTTTAAAAGTTCAAATTCCAGGAGTAAATTTTCATTACAACATGTCTCTTCTTCCAATTGTCTTCACTTTTTTGGAAGCCTAATTGAAAGTAATAACCAGAAAGAAATCTAATGAGAAATATAACAATTACAACACCAAATCTCCTTTATTTGCAGTTTCCATACACAATACTGATAGCAAAGAACGTAAACCAAGACATTCTACATTTTACCACACTTTTGGTCACAAGCAAATACGAACTAGACTACCATGACAGAGAATAAGAGAAATATTCATTTTATCTAACCTGTAGATTTGAGGAGTTATATGCACCCAAGCGCCCCATAACATACCATGACTGAATTACCTGTACAAAAATCATAATCAGTAATGGGGAAAAAATTGAATATGCATTTATCATTTCTTAGACTCTGAAAAGTAATATGATCCACTTACACTACCAAGAAGGTCAACATCACGGTCTGATGGGGCACCATAAAGCTCAAACCATATAAAGGAATCTATAGGGTTAAAGCTGCAAAAGATTAGTGATTTGTAATTAGTGTACCCATTTTTCACTCAAACATGTAAATTGTAGTTACTTGTCAGTTAAAAGATGAATTTTCCACCATACAGAAAGTAGATAATAGACTAGATGAAAGAAAAGATAACCATTAGCAGCTTGATTTTGGTTTCACTATGTTATCAAATGCTTTTGCATCAATTGGTAGTTATAAAGTTTTCGTAAGCATCAAACTCGCATGGCATATTTTACTTTAAAAAAATTAGTCAAGAGTTTATCCAAATTATACATAACGATCAAAGTTGTCCATGATAAATAAAAAGATGAACGAAAATGTATTTTCTTACTCTCTGAAGCTAACTTTAAATGCAAGAACAGATCCTGTTTTTGACTTGTGGAAGTCTCTGCCTTTTCTTTGAACCCTTTCCTCGACCTGTGAATCATAAGATACCCAGGTCAAAGACTCGGTAATTTTCTTCTAATAAACATGTTATAATAAAGTAATATCCCAATTACCCTTTTCCTCATGAGCTCTGGTTTACCAATACTATCCCCAAGAACTGCACGAAGCTCTGCATCATCTCTGCATGCATCTTCTAAAACCCTTGAATCCAAAGGGGAAAAAAACCAAAATAAGAATGCTTTCGCACCATAAAAGAATAAGAAAGGTATTATCTGGATAAATGAACAGAACATCTGCATGAAGTTTAGCAAATATGCTATCATTTGGATCATAGTTAAACATGATCACGTCCAAGCATAGCTGCACAAGTATAATGCAAGTTTCAGCCTATCATAATTCATATAAATAGTAGAAATATGGATTGTATAATTCCAGATAGCTTTCTATCAATAGTACTTGAGAGATAAATGCAATTATCTCTTTTGTATATTGACACTGCTTCTGCTTGTATCTTTACAAATTTGGAAAGTTATGCACCTAGGTTGCAACAACCCAGAGTTTAAGCTCTAAAATCGACAAAACAGGTTCCCATTTCTACCAACTAGCTATCCAAACTTTATGATATTCCCAAATCCTGTGCAATGTGCATATTTTTCTTCATAGGTCTTTGGCATCAAACAACAAAAAAGGGATGACATCTAGAGTAGAATTTGTCGTAAAAATTTTATTTCATTGTGTAGCTTCTGTTCTGACTTACCTGTAGACCCTAAATGATCCATTTGGACAGGAAAAAGCTTGAATAATAATAGATTGTTAATATAATCCACATTCCAAAGGATTATCATTAGTGCAGTAGGGAAGCTTTGGATACGTAAGCCAGATGTAGTATACACTTAATAAAGCTACCAACAATGACAATCACCTAAATTTGTCCACTATTCTCAAGGTTTTACCCTCCTCAGGCGGGTAATGAGAAGATGACCTATATACTTCCTGCTCAATGCACCATCAAATATGAGGAGGAAAACTTGCTAACAAGATTACTTCTTTGGGTTAATTTTAGAAAACCCCCCTCAACTATGAGAGTCATCTCAGAACCCCCCAAGGAAAAACAATTTTAACTCCACAAAACCCCCTTAAATTTTGGGGCTGTTGAATATAACCACCTTAACTTTCAAAATATGACTTATCTTCCCTCAACTTTTCTCACTTAACCCCCTAAGCTAATAAAATTAAATATGAAGGAACATATGATTTAAAATGACCATACTTGACACTACCCCTAAGATATTAAAATTTTTACCATGGTGAATTTTTTTTTTTTTTACTTTTTTCATTAAAAATACCTCCCATTTTATCCTCCTTTTCTTTTTCTATCTCCATATCCATTGCTAGGTCCACGTGGGAACTCAATTTTTTCTTTCTTTTTTGAAATGCTAAGCTTCTTTTATTTTGTGGTTATTCATATTTCTAATGTTTGGAACAATTGATTTTTTTTATTTTTTTAAATATTGATTTCCTCATTAACAAACCATCAAAGTGAAGTCTAACACTTTAATTAGGTCGGCTTTATGAACTCACATGGGTTTCTCTTTTAACGAAGGGTATTTTAGTTATTGCAGAATTTGAATTAACGATATTTGAAAAAATTATAAAGATAAGGAGAGTTTTGCGGTTTAAGTCGTATTTTGAAAGTTGAGGGGGTTATCTACATCACCCTCAAAATTGAGGGGTGGCGGGGGGTAAAATATTGAGGGGGGTTCTAGATTAGAAGAAACACAGTAATTTCGTCAAACACCCTAAAGCCTAAAGGTCACAGTAGGACTCAGCTGAATCCTTCGGCAAACCCATCGAACTTACTACTTAGCTTAATTGTCTAAGACAAACTCTCTCATAAACTTCTTTAGAAACCCAGAAGAATTCTACTCCAAATACTCAATAGGCATTACCTCAAACACCAAACGGGCATTAAAAAAAACACAAAATTCACCAGACTTAAAAACAAATTACATACTTAGCCCATTGTGGATACTTGTGAATACGATCATACTCCCTCTTGCGCTTCTCTTCTCTAACTCTGAGAAGCCTTCGTTCCCTCGCGCTAGTTCCTGAGCTCATCGCTTCATTTGGTTGACTCGAGCACTGGATTAAACTTAGAGGTCTATTTCTGTGGTGGGTTTTTGATTTTGGTGTTAAAAGATTTGAAGGAAGAGGAGTGGCGAAGTAATTCCATTGAGCTAGCATTGTTTTGTTGGGGTTTTGGGGTTTATCGCAGATTTCTCAGTTGAGTTTGTGTTCGAACAACCGAACTGATATAATGTTTGTTTTCCCTATAAACCCCCACATCTATCATATTTGCATATATACCTCCCAAATCCTTATGCCTACATTTTTTATAGTCATAAGTTTAAAAAAATATTGATTTTTTTAAATCCTCGTGATTTTTAACCGTGTTCAATGAGAGGAATATTAAAAAAAAAGAATTTGATTAAATAAAAATATGTTTGGAATTTTGGATCTAATCATACATCCCAAATTTCAAGAGCACGTTCTCATTTGGTACCAGATTAATCTTTTTTTTTTTGTTTTAATTAAAGACTCATCAACTTATATTGAATTACGTTATTTCTTTTCTTATCAAACCTCACCCATATCACATTCTAGGCGCTCAAACTTTATAATGTATCATATATCATTTATTCAACTCATGCATTAAGTAATAGAAACTCAGTATGATCCGTATGAACAAATAAAATAAGCTTAAAACAAATGAAGAAACTAATACAATCATAAATCACTCTTGTTGAGGACGAAGTGGCATGTTTAAACAATTCTTATGAAATTTCGAGTCTGGACCACATTATATAGACAATTAAATTAAATATATAAAGGCAAATGGTAACTTCAAGTACATATTTAAAGCTGACAAAAAGCAGAAGAAGTTACCTCATGCAGCGTGGTTCCCTTTTATAGTAGATCAGAGGGGTATGAAGGTAAGTTCGGCCGAGCCTAGTCAGACTGCTAAGTCAACAGATACCTTCTAGGTGTTGGCCGCAGAAGAAAGTTAGTCATCTGGTTATTTAATGAGGAAATGATAGCAGGTGCTTGGAGCTGACTGGGTCCGATGAGTCATAAAGACTATGGAGACTAGGATGATGATGATTTTGTCAGAGCAGTTAATGTGAGTGTAGTCAACTGGCAAGGGGTACGAGGTAACTGTCGTCTCTCTTTTTGTTTGGTCAAGGGCCAAGAAGCATCGTCTTTTGACTCGGCTACGTAAATTGTTAGCTGACACAGTAGGTCAAGTACAGGTTACTTGTAGGGTCGATCGGGTGAGGTGGCCGAGAAGGACCGCCTTTTGACTTGGCTACGCAAGTTGTTGGCTGATACAGTAGGCCGAGGTGCAGGTTGTTTGAGTCGTCTCAGCATCAATTCATCTAAGTAGGCGAGGAGTGAGACACGTGTCACCTTCTCTAGAGAGACTAGCACTTGTTGATTTTCTAGGCTATAACAGATGGCCCCCTTCTACTTGAACTCGGCTAGCCGAGTACGGCGAAAGATTAAATAGATGTCTGTTATCAAATCTCGAGGTGCATTGATGAAGAGTGACTAAAAGGTCTTTTCAGATGTGACAGTGTTGTCCTCAAGGCAGAATTCTTATTCGTTGTCGCTTCATTTTTCATGTATGATTGTGGGTGAATTAAGGCAATGGGTGCCTCGATTCTGGAGTTGTCACTTCGATTTTCGGGATTGATCTCCACCGTTGGTTGGGTGAGGAGTTGACCATGGGATTCTGATAGTTTTTTATTTCTGTGACTATATATATGGTTACTGCAACAAGATGGAGGTTTACTACTTTTGAAGATTTTTGAATCTTAATCAAGGATAAATTTCGATCATTCATCTTGTCCGGTAATCTCTGAAACAGTTCTAATGGTGACTTTTACTATTAGAATTCGACAAGGCCAGTTAGAGAAATTTCACTCCATGGTGACCTTGTCACAACTGAGGGCACTGCACAAGAAGTTTGATATTCCTCGAGCTTTCACCTTGACAGCATCGGCGAACTCACATGCAGTTTTTGACTATAATGCAAGTCAGTCTCTAATGTATGTGAGACATTTCGAGTATGGTTTATGCTTTCCGTTGCATACTTTCATCCGTCATGTTTTTAAAGCCTTGGGGGTATCACCGATGCAGATGAAGTCGGATTCAATTGTTACCCTGGTAGGGTTCATTGTCATCTGTCAACGGTTAAGAGTCGAACTAACCTTAAATTTGCTTGGCAACATTGTTAGTGTCAAGGTGCATCAACGAGAGTCTCATATATCATCTTCATGTGCTAGGGGGAAACAAGATAATCGCCGACCCTCCTGAGTCGAACAAAGACTGAAAGGAGAGGTTTGTATGGGTATCGGGAAATGACTCTGACTTGGGCTGCTCAGACTAGCCTAGATCTCTAGGGAGGCTCTGAAGGCGGGACCAATGTCCAGTGCCGAGAGATGGGCACTAGAGAAGATTAAGGCGTACACAGGTTCTCGTAAGATGGAAGTCTTACTTGACAACTCGATCTTGCGAGTAGTCAGTATCTCCTCCGTGACTCCTTTAACTGAGAACGATGCGAGGGCGGTAATGCTCACTTTGGGTTCGAAGGAATCCGTCGAGGTGCATATGGCTCTACCTGTTGAAACTTAGAAGGTGCACTAGGAAGGTCCTTCGATGAGGCTAACAAAGCGTCTTCGTCAGGATCTAGTACCTGGGGAGGCGACGGAGGTTCAAGCTCAATCTAGATCATCGAGGCCGATGCTTTTGACTACTCAAGCCAAAAAGAAGAAAAGGTTGAGGAAGGTGGGTAGCTAAGAAGATGACCAAGATGATAGAGATCAAAGTCGTCCATGTTGATGATGAGTCCTCAGCATGACAAGAGAAGGCCAACCATCGGGTGGTAGAGGCCTAGGCCCCTAGGAAAGATGAGATGTCGGCAGAGACTGAGACCGAAGGAGGTGGTGAAGGGGCTTTAAATATTCTTACTGAGTTAATCCCGCGCTAAGGGAAGGAGCCGACCGTAGAGGGGACGCCCCTTCGGAGGAAGTCGGATGGCCGTATCCTCATGACATCAATGAGATTGAGTCGAAGAAGTAGGACAGACAAAGGATGCTATTGATAGGGCCCTCCACAGTCGGTCCCTGACATGATAAGGAGCTAGTTCAAGAGCATAGGTATAGGCTGACTCGTTATCTTGATGAAAGGGAGTCAGTTCTCGAGTTGCAGCTCGCCCAGTTGAAAGCGAATGAGCAATTATATTTCCCCCATGATGAAAAATTTTTGGGAGAGGTTCCCGATGTCAATCTTCATCTGAGTCTTAGGAGCTACCTAGTTCGTTGGGCTCTAGTGGAGCAGGAGATGTTCGGTCGGGTAGAACAAGTACGAGCTTGCTATCTTAAGCTTGTAGAGGAGTCGGAGGCTCAAAAGGCTAATTTAGAAAGGGCTCTTCTATTGTTGTTGACTAAGGAAGATGAGTTGGACAACTGGCATTGGGAGATGGAAGTACGGAAGAATATATTTAACAGATTGAAGGTCGAACAGCTAGAAGTCAGTCAAGATTGACAAGCTCAAGTGCGAGCTCCATGAAAAAAAATAAGAGGATAAGATATCTATCCGAGGAGGTTGCGCTCGGGAGGCAGGAGAGGGATCGAGCCTTGTAGCAATCCAAGTCGGACTATCATGCCGCCCTTGAAAACCGAGCTGGAGGAGGAGACGGTGACTCTCAAGAGGCTTTAGGAGGAAACACTCAGGCCGCATTGGTAGCTGAACCATAGCGCGAGTCGTCCCTTGTAGAAGTTCAAGTTTTGCAAGACTGTCTTACTCATCTGGATACTAAAGCTCATCGGTTCGAGATCATTGAGGATTATCACCACATCACTCTTGGGAAGGTGGAGGTGGCACTGCCATGTAAGGTGGGATATGACTATCTCAAGGCACAACTTCCAACCGAGATGAGGGGCAATCCTAACTATTTTCACTTTCTTCTAAGGTTGCTAACTGTCTGGAGGCTCTCCTGGAGATAGAGGAAAAGGGAGGGGGACTTGAGCTTGGTGGTGGAGATGGAGCTGAGGAGGAGGAGGACGATGAGGCCGACGAGGGCATTGCTAAAGAGGTTAGGGCGGTAGGTGAGGGCTTAGTCGAGCAGGATGGCGAGGGCTATGCTCAAGATAGTTGGGCAATTTCACTAGAGAGGAAGAAAGGTGGAGGGTCTGAGTCTGAAGTTCAGTCGACTCAAGTGCCCTATGCTGCCTATGCTTCTCTGCTCCCATCCCCTGGCCTTGGTGTTGATCCAAATCTTGCTCCTTAATTCTTGTATCTTTATTTTTGTCATTTATTATTTTTTTCTTTTTTGTGTATTGTAATCACTTGGAGAATACGAATAAGAAATAATTTTTTGCCAATCTGACCTATGTATCTTGCGTTCTCTATGTTGAATTATATTTTGAGCCTTTGAGATAGGGACGACTTGATTTCGAGACTTAGATTATTGGTCGACTCGTAACGTAGGCCTTGGGTTTTGAGAAAATGTCAAGGTCTGGTAGTTGCACTTGAGTTTCTTATGAACATGACAGGGCTTGTGAAAATATCTCGTATGATTAAGTTTGGTTTGAACACTCTTGGGGAGTAATAGGCTTCCTCCTTAGCTAATATGTGATGCTAAAGCTTTGGATTAGACGAAATGGATCGATTCAATTTATTATGCTATAATAAGGGACAAGTGTCTTTATTATCCATATCGATCTTAAGGAGGGCTAACTAATATCACATTCCTAGTAGGCCACGCGAGTTGTCAGTCCATGGGGTCAATCACAGGAGCAATGGCTAGAGTCACTCATCTATGAAGTTAAACATGCGGTGGCTTTAGTAGGTGGATGAATACTTTGTTGCTTTGGATTTTTCCACTCACATTCGACTGGTCAAGTTGAAGTGGGAATTCAAGCAGTCGTCAAATAGCGAGTTTTAAGGGGTATTTATGGAGAAAGCGACAGGTCATAGCTGAAGTGACCTTTTGACGTTATTGAATGGCATACGTCGTTGTTGCTTCAATTTCTGAGCAGAGTGATGCATTGACTGAAGGGTGACACTTTGTTTCTTATGATGCTCGTTCAGATTTTGAGGTCAACCTTAACCGTTTATTTTGGATTAGGTTGACCGTTCCGATCTTAACATGTATCATCATCGGAGCCTATATATATTCCCTCCTTGCAAAGAGATTCTTTTTATTCCCTTCTTGCCCTAGCCCCCCAAATTCAAGCTCCTTGCTTCAATTAG